ATAGTAAAAGGGGCAAAATTTCAGATACCATTTCCGAAATTTGAATTGGAAAGGACCCTGGAATGATTGAAAAGTGCTGTCCCATAACTCCTGCAACTCCCTTCCAATAACGACTCAAACAACTGCATAACAATAACAAAAATCCATCAATTAACATGAATAATAACCAATAATTTAGAGAGTATTTATAGAGTCAGAGAGAAATGGAGGGTATACAAGAGAGGGTGAATGGTGGCGTAGATAGGAGCAGATGGAGCGGCGGGCCAGCCGGAATCCATAGAGTCGGACCATTGGCTAGGTCGGTAACTGAGCTAATCGGAGAGAGAATCTGAGGGAAGCACGGAGTAAAACCCTAAACCCTAATCAATTATTGAGTAATTTCTATCATTGCATATAATAAAATTTTCAAGTTCCGTTTGAGTTAATAGGATAAATTAATAATTTCAATAAATGGATAAAATAAGTGAGAACTTATGTATAAAGTTCCATTCTTACCATAAATTAGTTGTGATATTTTCTTGAAATGTGACTACTATTTTTTCCCCTTTAAATTTTAGCCCATGTTTGATAGGAAATAAAATCAGTTTTTTAGTAGATTTTGATAAAATTTGATGAAATATGTAGTTCAAAAATTGTGAATCATATGAAATATATAGTTAAAATGAATTATTGATTTTAACTTAAATTAAAGTCTGAATTTTAATATCTATCAAACAAAGACTTCGAGCCTGTTTGTTTAGCATTATTTCCTTGAAAAAATGAGAAAATGGACCGTTGTGCTGGGTCCCACGTCTGCAACTTGGTTTTCTACTCAAATAGAATTTTGTGCACTTTTACAAATTAGCCCTTCAGTCACGAAGGTTTCTTTGAACTATAAAAGTGGATTGAGGGTAAAAGTGGAAGTCAATCTCTATAACTGTCAAAATTGACACTGTTGGTCGGAAACCTCTTGTCAAAAAAATATTATTACAACGGTAGGATTTTTTCTATTTTTACAAAAGAATGTCGCTCAAACAGACGCTTAATATAGTTGGATCTCATCTCTCGTATTCCGTAATGCACCTAGAAGTAATGAAAAATTCTCAAATTGTAAGAAAGAATTATAAAGTGTGATTGATGCTTCCAAAAACTTCTTCGCACGTAATAGACTCCAATGTTGTTGAACATTTACTATCTCATATATTAAAGTTAAAAAATTGTTAATATAATCCACAATTACGTTGTGAATTTCAATAATAAATTTAATTCTCATTCATTGCCTTGATTGTTAATGTAATAGTTATGATAGCAAGAATACCAACTACAATGACCTATTATTGGACACTTTTTAATACATTTATTTGGTAAATTTTTTTAATAGATTTTGTTAAAAGTGATTTTTTTAAGAGTGTGCAATTAAAAAATAGAAAAAAAATTGAGTTTACTTGTAAAATTATTTTATTAAAAAAAAATATGTGATTGAAAATGATTTTGAGAAAAAATAATTTTTAGAAAATAAAGGTCAAACAAGGCTTAGTACTTTAAATTAAAAAGATTATAAAAATGAGCAGTTATTTTTATTTATTTTCATCAAGCATTCTTATATATCAATCATACTCTAAATTTATCCTCTATTAAAATTTTAAGATTTTTATGAAGTACTATATTCATCCACATTACTTCCAATGTAAAATTTTCATAAAGCATTATATTCATCCATATTACTTCCAATATTATCATTATTAAATTCATTCATTTAAGCCCATGTTTGACTCCCGTTATTTCAAAACTCGTTTTTTTTTAAATGCATTTTAACCATACATTCTCACAATGAATTATTTGCACTAAAATTCAAAAAAAAATCTACTTTTTAATCACATCTTCTCAAAAATTTCACTATTATAGAACTCATTTTGAGAATGTATAGTTAAAAAATAGAAAAGAATTGAGTTTACATAAAAAATATTTTATTGTAACAACATCTTTTCATTTTTCCTATTTAATCATGGTTCTCTTCATATAAGATTTCAACCAAATGAATTGTGTGAAAGTGTATCAATTTATATCTTTGAACTTTTCATTTGTCCCCTTAAAGATAGGCTTCTTCTAGGCAGTGTTCTAAAAAGCGTAATGCGTTGCGATGCATCGAGGTCGAGAATCAAGAATCACAAGTTTAGGCGCGTCAATGCGAAGAATAAGCGTCATAATGCGTTTCGTATTTTTAATATTATTTTAATTATTTTTAAGGAATTAAATATATTTTTATATAAAAAAACAGATTTTTTACAAAAAAAAAAAAAAATT